GTGGACTTCAACTCCCAGAATTCCTCAGCCAGCAAAGCTGGCTGAGGAATTCTGGGAGTTGAAGTCCACAAGTCTTAAAGTTGCCAAGGTTGGACACCCCTGCATTATATTCTCAGGTCCTGAAATCTGTTCTTAGTCCCAGATACTAGTTCTGGGTCAGGTACTATTTTAATTATGTTCACAGCCCATTTGATTATCTCTACTCTGTTTACCTTTTTGTTTTGTCTGTGTTTCATAGGTTAGACTACTTAGATAAGAGTAGAAAGTTTGAAGATCGGCTAAAAGAACTCAAGACTGAAATCCATGCTCTCAAACTTGAAGAGAAACACGCCGGATTTCTTTCTCATTGGAACATAATCCTTGACTCTTTGGATCATTCATCAGAGAAGGAATACAAGGTTCCCATATAGTCAAGCATTTATTTCTTAAATTTGTAACAAATGCATACAAAAATAGCATTTTAGTACTCTTTCAAAAGTCCACTAGAAGTGTCTTCCTGGCACTTGCAAGCTTGTTTAAAAACAATGACTTTTCTTTTGTAATTTATTCCTGGATCTATGGCCGAAATATTTAGGACTGTCATAATGATTCCAGTGATTAAGACTGTGGACAATAAAAACTGGCAAGTAGGAATGGGTTTCACCTTTATTCAATGAAATTAATAAATATGGTCAACACTGAATACATTTTTAAAAGTATAAAAACTGCTGATGGTATGTAATGTTAGAAAAAGCTTTCTTTATTGAGAGATTACCTCTTTTCTCATGTGGAAGGAAGCAAACCATCTTAAAAAATAAATTGGTCTTAGTCATATACAGTTTAACAAAGATTTTACCACCTAACCAAACTGCTTTGACCTAAAGTACTTTAACTGAGTACAGTAGAAGTTGTTTTCCACCAGATTAAAGGTTTTAAAATTGTCTCTCTTATTCTGTATTAACCAATTGCAGCTTTTCAGGTTCTGCTGAAGGATGCTTTCTCAATCCCAGTATCTGATCGTTGAAGCAAGAAAGACCAGGCACTAAACTTGATAGTCTTGTGTATTTTAGCAGGAACACCAATAAAGGGTCAAAACAAGGCAGAGCCTGTGTTCCACACCCTCCTGTTTGCATAAGCTTCATTCTTATTTTCTCTGTCCTTAACCTTAAGCAAAATCCCCTAAGCTCTGGGAGATCTCCACAGGATGTTTTTCTTTTCTTTTTAAAAAATATATTTTGATTGAGTTTCTTTTATTACATCGTAAAACATCATGGTTTCAACAGCGTTCTTGGCATCTGTACAGGTTTTTGGTTTAAATATCATAATACATTATATTACATTTGTCTAATATTAAATAATAGCTTTAACTATGATTACTATTCTTATATCTTTATATAATTTACAAACTTTTGTTTTACTTTCTTAAGGATTATTTCAGTTAGGCTTTTTGCCTCGCTTCTTAGTTCGCCACAGGATGTTTTTCTTGTTGCCACCACTAAATTATTATTTGATTTAGAAATTATTTTCTACCTTTCCCATATTTGTCCTTTTAGCTGCACTGCACAAATCTTTCTCCCTTTCCTCTTCCTTCTGAATTACACAAATTTGGAGGTGGGGCTTGCATTGTTCTGTCTTGAATAGCAGTTGTTAGGGATACACCCTAGCAGAATGTGCACGGCAGTCAGGCAGGCAGGCAAATATGTGAGATAAACATTTTTGTAGCTTACACTCAGTAAAACAGATACACTGTGCTAGTTAAATAGTTTATTCCAGTAAGAGTCAAAAAAACAGTCCATATATCATTCACTAGTTCAGTCCGTTTGGGGATTATTCAGTTGCAAAGTCCAGTGTCGAAAAAGAGGTTAGTAAACTTACAAATATCAGTCCAGTATTATATCTTCTCGCAGTAAAGAAGTCAAACCTCCTTTCTTCCTTCGACGTTCAAAAACTCAGCAGCAGGGAACACGCAGTTAGCAAACCATCAATCCAGCATAGTCAGCAAATCCGGTAGGTTCTCTTGCTCCCTCTTATGGCGGTTTTACAACCGCACCCAAAATTACATGCTTTGCAGTTTAAAGTGACACACACTTAAACTTACTATCATAGTTTATATATATTATTTTACCCAAACTACGTTAGGTAACCTTGTTATTCCTAACAGCAGTTCTATCACCCAATCATCCCAACTTGTGAAATTAATCTTCTACATTCTTCTCCTGCTCCTGAATCTTTAGGTAACTACCCTTTCAGGGAGAATGACTAATAGTACAGTTGCTTCTGTAGTTTATCCCTATGAAGCTACTTTTAGAGATGCTTCAACCCGATCCGTTTTTTGAAGGTGACTCTCCAGAAGAAGAAAAAAATCACTTGAATAATATAATAATAATAGGATTCTTGTAGAATCCTGAGTTGATTTTATGTATTATCCAAGCCAATACAATATTCCTAAAGTTAATCATGGACATTATATATGTTCTATTTAAATTTTTTATATTCTGTAAGCCGCCTTGAATCGCCATGGGCGAATAGGTGGCAATATAAATTCAATAAATAAATAAGACTTCTGGAAATAATAATTGCATTTCACACAAGAGCATTTCAGTCCTTCATAAAGGGACAATTTCCAGACCAAGGGAGTTAAATTGGTTTTTTTGGCTTTCAAAATGTTTCGTGTTATCCTGAATAAACATAAAACCTCAATTAATGGCGAATATACTGCTTTTTTAAAGGCTCCTGTTTGGATGAAAACCCTCGAAGCAGACCTGTTTAATAATCTGCCACAGTCCTTTTCACCATCATGCCTGCTAAATGTGATTGAGAATACCATGCCCAGTGCAGCAACAGAAAACTCTTTTCCAACCCATCCCCTGGTTATCAATAACATGGAAACAGGACACCGAAAGCACATTAAGGTAACCGGCTTGAATTTCATTTTCAGTATTCCATATGTCCTATCTACCAATCTTTTCCTTGGATTATGTGTCTGTATCTCGATGAAGTATTTATACAATAGTTGGTTCTCAAGATTTAGGTTAGCCCACTCTTTGAGCTTCTGCTCTGGAAACCACACGGATGCTTTGGGATACTTGTGACTGGACACAAAGTGTAGTTATTCCTTGTTCCTTATCTTCAATGTGCCATTGAATTTGGAAGTACTATTCAGCTCCTGGGTCCAGCTGACAGATCTACTCCCAGCCAGTCAGTCAGTCAGTCTATCATCCTTCTCTCACTAATTTCACATTCACCTCATCTGTTGTTGACTTCTTTTTCCATTTAATGTCTTTTCCCAAAGAAAAATCCAAGAATAATCAGTTCTTTCAAAACAAGTATTAAAGGGAACACGGAAGGAAAATACCCAGTCAATATGATAGCCATGCAATCAGAATGTTTAAGTCCCACAGTGAGATTTTTAACGATATATGGAGTTATCTTCTACCGTATCTCTGTGAGCTATTGAATGAGGGGGGAGCAGATAATTCTATGGGGGAGAGGGAAGAGTGAGAGGGAGGGAGGGAGTGAAGGAGGGAGAAAGATTTGTTTTAACGCCTTCTTCAAATACCAATACCTGTTGTATGTGAACATTTGATCCATTATACAACTGTGGTTTAGAAATGATTTTTTCACTTCTTGGCGTAGGAAGTGATGAGATTCCATTTTATTCCTATTCTAATATCAATTTTAGACTGCTTCTTTATACAGTTGTCTTTTTTTAAAGAAACATATCTTTTATTCTGTACCTTTAAAATGTTTCAACTGCGTCTGCTGTAAGTTATGTAATCTATTTGCCTTATACCCAAATATCTTTTATATTTTCTTTATGGCTTCTTAGGTCCAACAACACAAAACAGATGTGATCTATATCTGAAGCAACAGAATGACCAGATATCCAACTCAAGTTATCCATCCAAAGATTTCCAGACTACTTTCATATTCTGGGGGAAAAAATGCAGCTGCTGCTTAAAGCATAAGAATGGAAATATTTCTTTTCCATTCATAGGAAGTGGTGCTCATATTCTGATATAGAAATACCTAGGTAATACTAGCCAACCAGAGATCTAAGTCTGCAAATCTAATACACCTTACTATTTAATACATCATCTTGAAAGTAATTGAACATTTCTACTGGGTTACTTGAAAATTTGTCATGCCAATGTATGTTTGTAAGAAGAATCTTAAGAAATTCAAACAGATCTATTCTACTACGTTCCCAAAGTCAGCTCTATTAAGTTACTTGAGAGTTAAGAACTGAGTTGTATATTCATTGAAGAATTATGAACGTGCTGTTAAATTTCGTTAAAGGCAATGGGATTGTATCAATTAACTAGATTAAGGTTCTGTACATTTAGAATTTTTCATAAAAGTGGAAATGTAAATTTATGATGGTGAATATTTTTATTTTTGTAAAGTGTTCTACAATTATTACTTTGTCTTTCTGATTAAAGGACAAAATTCTAAACACCCAAATCTGTTTATTAAAACAGAATCAGTGGGAATGCTATATATGTCCTTAAGCCAAAACTGGGTTGGGCTTGTTCAGCTCTTTTGCTAAAAATAGAGCCTGATCCTATTCACACACTGAATGCTCAAATGTAAACAAAATGTATTATTCTGCCATGTAAAGAACTGCAGCCAGGAGTTCCTTCTGAGAACAGAAACTTAGGATTGTGCTCTTATTTAACTTGTATCCCACCCTACGATGAATGAGGCTTTTAAAAAAAATATGATGAAAAAGAGTTTGGAACAAGAAGTAAGGTAATATGCTTATTTTAATGCCGGTATCTAAATAAAAAAGCCTGTGTTTTATGTTTCTTAAAATTCAAAGCAACATAAATCTTCCATCAAACATTTTATTCTCTTCCTGTGAGAAATGAAACAGCAGGAAAATAAGCCAATGAATAAGGCTAGAAATAGGTTTGGTTTCCCTTACACCCCGCTATTGAAGACCACTATTGAAGCTTTCTTGGCACTGGTGTTCTTCAATTACTTGATTCCAGTTGATGTGTCAACTGGCTGTTCCCGATCACAACGGGGTCATGTCTTTTTCCTCACAGTAGCCATGCTTTCTTGCAATATTGCGCACATACAAGCTTCAAATGGCTAGACAGAAAACATATTTGATACATGCCTTGTGAGCTGTCCCATTGAAATGGCACCTGGCCTATACTTTTTATATCATTTACCCCAATACTCAGAATTACAGCAGTGTGGTTATCTTTAGTGTCACTTTAAAAAAAAATGATACTGGAAGTCGATTTCTGAATTGTGGAGGTACTGTGGGAATAGCAACAGTAATGACACTGGGAAAAAACTGATGTCTGGATGAGTTTTTAAAAGAGAAAATATTTGTCCCTATTGCTTAGTTTCTCATATTCTGCTTAACAAAGTAAAAAGCCAGTTGCAGAACTGAGTTAGGTCCTATCACAAGGACCAAAATTGCTTTCATCAACCTGAAGACTCTCTGAATTGGTAGATAGCTTCTCCCAGCATTGATAGTCTTGACCATGCTGGCTATTAAATTCTAGGAAATGCAGATACTTGGAAGGGCACTTGGGCTGGAAATAATGGACTAAATTTATGGATGGCTTCCTGAATTTGAGCCAATACTACTTGATGGGGAGCCAAAAAATTATGAGGTTCTGGAAGAGAATTCAACTCTTTGCTTCACATAGGAGAAATACAACTCAAAGATGATCCTACAATATAGTGTCAGGCAGATATATTTTTCAAGTCTTCCTTCTCCCTCACCATTTGCTAACATATAGCGGAGTCATCAAGGAAGATAACTTTACATATCCATGCCACATAAATGAGGCTGTAGGAAATTATAGTGCTTATCGCCAAAAAAAAGTGGAGGAAGAGGAAGCAATAAAGTTTATTCATATAAGGACAAACTTTGTGAGTAGAACACCTTGGAGTTCTTGTTAGTCATGCAGTTGAAAAATTAAATCACTAACACTACTGAGCTTTGTGGGCAAGAGATTAGGATGATAGCTGAAAGGTGCTTGTTAAAAAAGAAAAAAAGTCGAGGATAGGCATCATGGAAACATCCCCTCACCTATGCTTTGGTATCTTTCTTGGCATATTAATGACAGCTTATAGACTGTAGTTGGTTTAAATTATTCATTAGAGAAGTTGTTTTAAAAATCTAAGGATTTCCGAATTTAAATTTGACATTCTATAATAGAAATTATTGTGATGTTGTACATCAATATTTATAATATATATGAGAACTTTAAAGTGTCTGAGGAAGTAAAAAGTGCAGCTTTCCTCAAAGAACCCTCTTACAGTTTGCACTAGGAACTCCAAGGATTGTAAGAAAATGACAAATATCAGGCAAGGCATATTTTCTTTTTGACAGCAGCCCTATTAGTTTACTCATAAGAAATCAAACTCACTTCAGAGTTTTGTGTTGACAGCGAAGTGATCTCTGTTCTTTTGGCTCACTCTTAAGTATTAAATTAATAGAACAAATAATGCTAAAATATCACTGGAGCCAAACTAGTTCTTTTACTTGGATTTAAAAGTTGTCTAGTTATAACAAATGTTTTCTAAATTAAGTTATTGTATTTTTTTTTCCAAAATAAAATTTCTGAACAACTTCTGGTTTCAGTGTCAAGTCAGTATTTTTACAATTTCGCCTGGAGTAAAGACTGGGATCAAACTCAATAAATTCCAAGACTGACTCTGGAAAGATGGCGCTAAACTCTTTTGATGGTCTGTAAATCACCATCCACAGAATTGAGCTATTGTATAATTAGGACAATATTATTATTGTGCAGTCACTTCCTTCAAAGCGACCGATGGCTGTCTATCTCATAGTTTACAAATCCTGCTGGTAAATCCAGACTCGTTGACTGTGCTTGTTTTGAGGAAACCTGAGTTATTAACTCATGATGCTAATTCTGCAGCCAATTCCTTCCTTGAAGCCTTTTGCTTTTAAGAAAAGGCATTTTGGCACTTTAACACAAAATTGTCACTTTGCAGTTACACTCAAAACAATCAGCACAGGAGTGAGTAAACAGTGTAAAATCCCTTTGTTGTTATCAGGTAATCTAAGGGCTAAGTGGGTTTATAAGGTTCCTTTAGTTGATACCAACCATCGAAGTTTGGGGAAGGAGCAGAGGACTAATAACTATATAAAACCTCAAATGGAAAAGAGCAAAGGTCAATCCTCAATGAGGCAACTCTAGGATGCCTTTTAATACAGTCTCTGCACAGCAACACCACAGGCACCCAATCATTCCAGGCGTTCATCACCTTCTTCAACATCTTTCAGGCTGAGCACTTCAAGGGTTCCTTTGCCTTTGGTTTCACACCTGATCAATTCATCGATCTCCCGGAAGCAGCCTGGATCCACAAGGCACACCTGCAACATTAGCACTATATTAGACTGGAAAGGCCATATCTTACAAAGAACTGCCCTGGTGAATAAGACCAAGGTGAACCCACCATCTTTCTTCTCAAAGTAACTTACAGGTAGTCCTTGACTTATGACAGCAATTGGGACTGGAATTTCTGTTGCTAAGAGATACGGTCCTAAAGCTTGGTTGCATCGCTTGGCAACGATAATCCCCACCATCCCATTTGTCGTCATTCCCATGGTCATTAGGAAAGGGAACTTCTTTTAAGTAACCAAGTCACTGGGAAAACTGGCAGGAAGTCGCAAGTCCCAAGGGGATGGTGCACAAAGGTATGAGGGAAGCACAGGGAGAGTGTGAGAATCCTTCTGAGGTCAGTAAAATGAGGACCCAGATTGTGGGGGAAAATATGCTGACTCTGTAAACCACTTAAGAGAGGAATGGTAAAACACTGTGAAGTGGTATATAAGTCTAAATGCTATTGCTATAACCTTTGCAGGTCTGTAAAGCAAAAGAAAGCTGCAGTAAGATCATAAGCACAGCTGCGGTTTCGCTTAGTGACTGCTCCACTTTAATAACTAAGTGGTTGCTGGTTCCATCTGTGGTCACTAAACAAGAAGTACTTGCATATAATTTAATTTTCCTTGTTTTGAATTTCTTGCTAGTAAGTTTTTGCAATGTGAGAATTAGATAATCTCTCACTGTTTTCACCATTCCCCATGGTGAAGCTGTTCTGCCTCCCACAAAAGAAGTGTTATTATCCTGTGGGTATTTTGATTTGCCCTTTTAGAAGTTTTACGAACTCCAGTGTATTTTTTAAATGGAATGGAGAAAGAACACTAAATTGGGCTGGAATGTCTATAGGTTACACTTCTACCCAACTAGGTTAAAAACCCAAAGACTGCAATTCACTGAAAGTCGCCAAATTTTCTTGAATTAGAAGAAAAAGGAAATGCAGATGTGTCACAATGAAATCTCTGCAGCATCCCTGTCTTTTGTTGAAGTCTTACATGCTCATATACCAAACTGCCTTATGACTGTATGCTTATCCCAATGCATTTTAAAACGTCTTCTGCAAGAACCAATGAAGTTTCCTTCACAAGCAATTATGAAAATGACTGCAGTCCAAGTATCAATCCTTACTTCTTCTCTCCAACACTTGAGTATAAACCTTCTTTATAAAACCAAAGGCACAGTAACAGCTTTTTCCCAAACAAAAAGACTGGGGGAAGGACATTGGGCTGCTTACAATTTCCAGCTGTTCGTCAAAATCCTCACTTTCGATTACTTTGATCAGTGGCTTCAACTTCTCTTTCAATCTCTTGCCTTCTTTCCGAGGCAGGAGGAAGCGTAGCCTCATGTGTGCCCGCTCAATCTGCATAGTTTCCTTCAGCTGCTTGATGACTTCCAAAGCCTGCAGAGGAATCCAAACCAAAGCACTGATTTTGACATTTTTATCCCGCTCCCCTTGAGAAAAAAACTGGAAAAACTTCGTCTCACTTCTGATTTCATACTTTTAGTCATGTATGACATTTGTTGTGCTGAGAATTGTTCTGCTGAGCATATTTCTATATCCAAGACTAACCAGCAGGGCAATCTTCCACCCAGTCAAATAGAGCTGGTGAGAAGACACCTTGCTTTTTCAGAAGAAGTATGAATTGCATTGCAGGCGTGGGAAGTACGTGCAAACTCATTAATTTTTAATAGATTAATACAGCATCTAAGCATTGTTATAATTCATTCTTCATGGGACTGTCCTTTAAGATCATCCAGAAAGTTCAGGTGGTCTGAAATGCTGTGGTTTGCTTGCTTACTTAGCAATTGGGGTACAGCCACATTAGACTGTTGTTACTGGAGCTGCACTGGTTACCAGTTTGTGTCCAAGTGCAATTCAAAGTGCTGGACATTCTCTATAACAACCTTTTGGATCTCAGAGACCACCGAACTCATAATTTTAAATCTCGCAAACCAAAAACCCTGGGAAAATCCCCCCAAAAGCCTGTAGGATAATTCCCCACCCGGTTTTCCTACCAATCGTTCATTCTTTATTTGGGATCGCAGGATATTGTCTCCAGCTCTGTTCTCAGGGGGAGAGAGAGAGACTTTTGTCTTCATGCAAGGCAAGCAGCAGCAGAAGCCTTTCTTTCTTGTGAGACTTGTCGCGCCGGCGCAGCCTCTTGGAGCAGGATGCCTTGCAGGGTCCCAAAGATTCACTTCTGGCGGAGTTTGGGGGAGAGAAAGAAAGACTTTTGCTGCTTTCCTTGCGTGCAGCCAAAAGCAGAAGAAAGAAGCGGAAAGAAGCAGCTGGTGGCCAGGTGAGGCATGCGGGGCAAGTTCCTCACCTTCTGCCCTTTCCCCCCTCCCCTCACTACTTCGTGTTGTTTGCAATGCGATGCAAACCTTGTGTTCCCATGGGCCATATGGGCGGCGCAGCCTTATGTTACTGCGCAGCCTGGATTACTTGCTTTGGGGGTGCCATTTCTCTGCGGACCACCAAAATTTTCTC